AGTGTCGAAAATATTCACCATTTCCGGGTGTTCGTGTGTTTAATTTTTTTTTATTGTTCGCAAGATTTCTTTTATACTTTTAAGAATTGATCTTTGGCTGTATATATTCACTTTTTAATTTCGAATATTGGGTATTGACAGATGTATAGAAATTCGAACTAAAAGTTACAATCTCGAAACTCCTAGCTGTTTCTGACATTTCAGAACTTTACAACGGAACATGGTATAGATTGTATTCATATACACGTAGATTTAACATGGGATAAATGAATTTTTTATCCGTGCCGTTTGTGCTAAATATCTTTAATTTCTTATCTATCATATTTCAATTAGCGTTTCTGTGCACGCACTGGTCTAAATTCTACAGAGCAGATATCTTGGACGACATATCGCCTAAAATACAATATAGCCGTTGAGATTAAAAGCAAATATCTTATAAAGTCATGTTTTAATTATCTACTCTCAATTGTTTTTAAAATAAAATTTTACCAAGATTCTTTTTTAACCCCCGTGTATACAAGGCGGCTACATGAAAGTGTTTGACGCGTGACCAGGCAATCGTTTTCAGAGGACACAAACTCAGACTATCAGGTAGCACGGGTAGCTGGCCTGTCAATCAAATCAGAAGCTATTGTTTTTTTAATGATTGACAGGCGGTAAATTATTGATCTTGAATCAGGTAGATTTTGGGGGCGTTAACATAAAATTGGGTGTTTAAACATTAACTGTCCAAATTATGATTACGATTGGCTCTACAAACAGAAACAGTTCACCACAGCCCGATCCCAATTATCAATTAAAAAACACCCCCCAGATACACTACAATTACAAGTTATTCACAACAAGATGCAAAAAAGGTGGACAGCTATCGATATCATGCCAAAGATGTTGGGGAAGATTTAAGATCTTTTTATTGTCAAATAATTAATTCATGCTGTGAATACAGACATATTTTTACTGTTAAATTGTGAAGTTATTAACTTTCTAAGAAGTCACACATCGGATCCGATAAACATAAATATAGTTCAATCGGCATGCAAAACTTTTTAATTAGAAAAAGAATTTTATATTGAAAACAAAATTTGAAGAGAAATTAACAAAATTATGACTATGTTAAAAGCCAGGAAATCTAATGAGAAGAGAAATTTTAGATTGTGCTACTATGTAAGAAATAAAAAAAAATGGTTGATTAACAATTAATCTGACAATAAGAAACTTCTACATTTTAATACTAGTAGTAGTAAATTTTATAATAATGTCAATGTTTTTTTATTATTTTTTTCTAGATATTTATATACCTTGTAATTGGGGAAAATATCTTTTATAATTCTTTTTCTCTTGTTTAATCATTTTAAATACAATGTTTATACAGAAAAATTATTGAAATATATGTAAGTTATAAACAATGAAAAACATTTAGTTTTATACATGAAGTCTCCCTAAATTTCAAACCTTCTCCCTAAATTTCTTTGAGGGAGAAATGTCTCCTTCATTTTGGGTCTATAGGTTGGTCCCTGGATACACGTATCTTAAGGTAAAAGTTTGTTGTGAAAGCAATCCATCACTTTCGGAGTTTCCAAAAACTTTTTCATAAACTGTGGAAAGACTGACCAGAGAATAGCCGATTCACTTAATTTTACCCATATTTGTCCCAGTGCAATGTGTCTAGTATGGAAACTCGGACAAAAGATTGAAAACCATCAACGGTGACAGAGCCTGATACAAATGTACTCCCATTTCTATTCTTGAGTCATTTGACTGCAATTCATTTTTGTTGACATAAAACCGAATGGTAAGAAAAAATAGTAAAGTTGAAAAATCTTATTATTTTTATTTGAATACATTTCAATGCTACTCGAGAGAAAAATATGTCAAGGTTCCAAATTATTTTTATTTTTATTTTTCGACCGCCCAATGCATATTTTTGTGTCAAAAAATCGTAAACCAAAAAAAAATAAAAACTTTGGCCTTGTAGTATGATAAATTTACTTTCTATATTTACACTTTTTTCTTTAAATTAACTTTCATTGATTTGAATTGAAATGTAACAATAATGAAAGAGTACCTTGATGTAATTCGCAACAATGGATACATTTTTGAAGTCGAGAGCAGCATCGATCTCATCCATGACATACAGGGGGGTGGGTTTATAGTGATGGAGGGCGAACACCAGGGCCAAGGAACTCAGGGTCTTCTCTCCCCCGGACAGGTTAGAGATGTTCTTCCACGACTTCTTAGGAGGACGAACACTGAAACAGAATCTACCTGCATTACACGTCTTTTTGAAAGAATAAAACGTGCAATTTTGAAGTTTTCCTCCTTTCTTTCTGGTTGTTCACAATTTTTTAATATCTTTGCTTTAGTTTCTTGCCCCTATTTAACTTCTGTGAAATAAAGGTTTTGTACACAGCTTACCTGAACACAATTCCCTCTGAGAAAGGATCGAGTGAGTCCACGAGCTCCAGCTCGGCGTCTCCCCCGAGTGTGATCATCTGGTACATCTCCTTCAGTTTGTTGGTGATGACTGAGAATCCTGCCATAAATTCGTCCAGCCTCTGCTTACGTAGCTCCTCAAAGTACTTTCTTTGCTGGTCCCTGAGTTCTGTTATCTTGTCTAGTTCCCCTACCCTCTGTAGGTACAACTCTTCCTGTAAAATATCAAGGTGTCGGCAAAATTGTCAATTCGGTCCAATAAAATTGACATTAGAAAGCAAGACAATTATTTTACTTTTTCCATCAATGTCTAAATTTTTAAGTGACCGGTTCATCTATAGTCATTTACTTGCACAGTAGAACTTGTTAATCACAAACACTGATATTGCAAATATATCATGGATATAGTGAAGTTATCTTGGATCCCTAGCTACATAAATTTAATGAATTCCTTATATGGATGCATCAAATTACTAATATAGCAAAATAATTTCATAGGTCCGAGTGACTTCGTTATAACCGAGTTTCACTGTATATGCTTAGTACATATTTCCTAAAAACTTGGAAATAGTTCCTGAACTAAATTTTCCAAAAGGAAAATTATCTTAAGCATTTAAAATGCTCTTCTAGTGTTTTATATTCTTGTCATATTTCTCATTTCAAGATATCAAACCTGAGTTATTTTCATGAAATAGGTAACTAAAGAATGCTTTACATTGTAAAGCTTGATTTAAAAATATTTACTATTTTAGTGGCATTGGTAATGGTTTTGTTTATGTCCTAATTTGCAAGCACTAGTACTTGTAGGGAATAATTGATATGCATAACATTGCCTTACAATATAATTTATTTTTTATATCCATGATCATTTTATAGTTGGTTCTTATAAATGAACCGTTTATCAACTTCATTAATCATGTCATATAAAATGTATTATGGCCTCAGAAAGTGTTGAGACTGCTTGAATTGATTACAAATTGATTGTTGGACTGCAGAATTTTAGACTAAAGGCAGGTAACTCTACATGAATAATGTCACAATATTAGAGCTCTTTCAGGAAAAATGTGTCTTTAACAGAGATATTAAGGTTAACTGACCGTCTGATAACTTAAAGAGAGATTACTCTTTATATAATTAATAATTATTATTTCTTTATAGTACATTTCATTTCTTTGAAATTTAACCCACATAACAAGTTAAAATTGTGCATTTCTCAATATGAATCATATCTGTTGAAATATGATTATTACATTATGTGAGTGAGCAGAGGAGAGATGAGCTTTAAATCACTTTGTCTTCTTAGTGAATTTTCATTAAAGTACTCACTCTCAAATGCATACTAAACAGTTTTTAATGAATAAAACATTAAATCTTGACAATTTTCCCATACAGTTACTATAAATTTTCTCACCCCTGAAAACTTTATCTTTGAAATTGTAATTCAGTTTAATTTTATTATGTTAGAAAACTCTTTCTTTCTTACAAATATTTAACAGGAATAAAGCAATCTATCATGGTCATGCTTTGATGGTTCCGCTGCTCTGTGTATGTGTAGAGCCATCAAAGCGTGCTGTGATATGACCTGATTTATTACACATCACAACAACTCTGATGTCTCCACGACATACCGTTCCTCGTACTCCTGGATCCTCCTCCTTGTTAACCTGTGTGTAGGTCCCATGACCTCTGTGTCAACCCTGGGTACAGTCCCTTACTTATATACATCCTTCTGAGTAACTCTTGTGACACCTGAGTGATTATAACCATAATTTCTCCCCTGGTGAAACCAGTAACTCCACCCCACAGGTTAAATTGGATAAGTAGGTCACACCTGTCAATCTTCCCTACAGGTAAGGGATAATTACTACTGCTCAGTGGGGACAGGTAGTCACACCTGTTCTATCTGCTAAACAATCAACAGGTAAAACTCCCCAGGACACATGCTGTGTGAAAATTAATCCTGTCAAATCAATTAAAACATTCATCTCTGAGGTCATTATAATGATTAAATTGATACAATAAATCAACATGTAATTGACTACTAATGAAGTGAAATATTCAAGATAAACAACTTTGCTTAAAAAGTGTCAAACTTTTGAAAAAAAAATTCTTTTAGCTAGATACTTTTTTTGTGTCTGTATTTTTCAAAATATTATGAAAGGAGAATATTAAAACAATTTTACATTTATTTATAATATTCACAGTTACTTAAAGTATTTTTTTTTTAAATGTCTGATACTTCATTAGTATTTATTCCTGTTTCTAAGAATGGAATGGAATGGAATTCTGTTCCCTTAACTCCCCCTTATAATATATTACAACAATGCAAGCTCACTCAAGCCTTTCAAAACTAAAAACATAACAGTACGAACATAACAAAATTAGACAATTGTGTTGGAATAAGACTCAATTTTTTTAACATGGTGTCTCTGATTTTTCAACAAAAAAATCTAATCAAACTGAACCTTTGGTTTCTATTCCAGATCTTCGGAATCTGATTGTTTTATTTCTATCAAAAGAATACAAGTTTTATTTTCATCACAGATAATTTGAATCATATAATGCTTAGAGTAGGCATGATTCATTTTGAACTTATTATGATCCATTTGAAGCATTAATATTTCACATCATCATGATCCTAAGTTAATAACCCAATCTAATTGCTCATTATAACACATTTAAACAAGGAAAGTATTTCAGTTTTTTTTCAAACTGAATCAAATTGAACCCTACAGATCTTGGCTGTCAAAGCAGTTTTAGCCATCAAAGCGTGCTGTGATCTGATAAATTCTGACACAGTTCACAGCAACTTTGACAGAAAAACCTGCTTCTTCATAAATAGTAGCTAAACAGACACCAAATATGATTCTATAATTTATATACAATTGAATTAATTCAGTAATAACATTGAAAAATCATCTTAGAAGATATTCCAAGATGTGCTTGTGGTCACTTTTTTGATGGCAAAACATGGCCTGATCAAAGTCAAACCAATGCAAAGCTGTCTAGGAGAGTTTACAAAAGATTAAGGGAACACTATGAAGAACCCAGTAATACTTAAAACTGAAGAATTTAGCTAAAAATAATTTTTTTAAGAAAAAAGCATAAGTTAATATTAAGATTATGTGTAAAATTAGAACATAGCAGTCAATTACAAAATAGTATAGAAGGGTCTCCCAAGCCTAAAGCCATGATTTGAAAAGAAATTTATATGGGTTTAAGATTTGTAAACTTTCATAACAAAGCACTTGATAGATAATTCCTACAATTAATTCTATGAAATATTTTTTGACCAATTTTCTCACTTAATGGGTGGTCAAACCTCCTTGAAAAGGGAAT